GTTAAGTGCGTTTTTATGCACATCTCCAAAATGAGCATTAAAATAGGTGGGTGGAAATGTAAGGCTAAGGCGAGAAATACCGATTCGTCTTTAAAAAAGGGGAGGAGACCGACAGAAACTCAGAGTTTAGAGAATAAACCAGCTCCTGACCAGGTTAGATTTACAGAGTAAGTTACCACAGTAACTGACTCTGAGTTAAAGTTACCTCTCTTTTAGAAACAGGCTTGACTTACCCTGCATTCTCAAGTTTAACAAACCTGCCATTTTGAAACGGAAAACCCAGAGTGTGTCTCATTTCTGGGTTAAAATACTCTGGGTTTTCACTTAACCTTCTTTCTGAAACAGGCCCCAGGTCAAACCACGTGATGTGCGCAGCACGACTGGTCAAAACATCGTCATGACAGACTATTAAGTCGACCAGTTGACAAGTGGGTGCAACCTCTACTATGTGCTACAACATGTAAAACAGGAAGATGAGGGAAACATTTAAAAAGCAGCTCATGTAAACACCGCCATATTACAGTCTTATTCAGATTAAAGCAAACAAACCAACTATTAATGTCCACGTAAACACAGTCACTGTTACTCAAACTCATGACAGCTTATCTCCAGACACCTGCGGTTAATGACTGACTCATAATGTGGGTCATGTTTGGTTTCACTTTGATTCGTCATACCTGGGCAGGTGTGTGTGTTTCTTAATGGCTGCCCTGCAGTCACATGACACAAACAGGAAGCGGATGCACAGAAACAAACAACAAGTGAATGGAAAAATAAAAACAAGACCGAGACACACATATAAAGACAGATTCACACACACAGAGACATAGTGTTTGAACATGGAGACCTCTGATAAATGATCTGTTACAGCTCAACTCCATCATTCATCAGTCAACACAAACACAAACACACACTAATAGAAACTGAAGCAGCAAGAGGGGAATAAATAGCAACAAGGAAACTAAGGGACGAATGGAAAAAACCTGCGTAGGTGAATCTGGTTGACTGTGAATAGAGCATTTATACAATGTTACACTGTAAAACAATCTTGCTAGTTTAAATTTTTAAGTTGAATCAACATAATTTTGTCATCTCAACTCAAGAGTTGATCAAACTGACTGAAAATGTTACGTTAAACGTCTCATAACTTAAAAACATTAGTTGAAACTAGGGTTGTAACGGTATGAATTTTTTACTGTATGATAATCGTCTAAAACAATACCACGGTTTGACGGTTTCGCGGTATACGGTGTGTTACAAATGTTACAAAATAATAGAACAGTGAAACAAATTTGACTTTTTCCAAATAATATATTTTCAGTTACTATAAACAACACCACTTACAATGAACAAATAAAAAAATAAGAAATAATGTGTCATAGTCCAAATAAAGTCCAAATAAACATAGTGCAAATCCTCAGTAAAAAAATAGATATAAATATTTACTATACTATAAATAGTTAAATAACGAAACTAGATTCAATATGGAACATCCTTAAGTTTTATGTGCCAGCATGGATATGGTTGTCTGTGGATATGGATTTGGATATGGTTGTCTGCAATGCAGACAAACAGCTGCACCTTCATTTGCGTCTTTTGAAAACAGCAAGAGCAGCAGTTCGTCTTTGCTGTGTCACTGTTTTGTCATGTTTCTGTGCTGCTGTGCATGCAAAAGAACTTAGTATGAGAATTATTTCATGCAAAACTTTTTTTTTTTGCGTTTTATTTAGCCGTGCATAAATGTATGCCTATCTCTCATTCCGTGTTGTTCAAAAAGCTCATTGTTGGTCCCCAAACAAAAGTGAAACCTATGCTTATTGGTTGTGATATAGCGAGTTTGAACCAATCTGGGCATGGAGGTGGGACAATCTATCAATGTATCATGTCTGGTTTGTCCGGAGACACAGTGACGAGCGTTTCTTTGTCAAATCAGCGTTGTCAAATTTTGATGACGTAACCGCACTGATTCCGGAGCCTCTGAAAGTCTGCGAATGTAAAAAAAAAAAAAAAAGAAAAGTCCGCGAATTGAATTGTATGAATCGGATCAGCGGATCAAAAGTTATTAAACAATTAAGAGCAATACTTATTTTTAGCCGCGGGCGGCTGTCTCGGTCTTTAAGGGTTAAAACCGTTGATATGCAATTGTTCATGGTATGATAATCGTGCACGTTCAAATCGTGGTAGACCGTCATACCGGTATATTGTTACAACCCTAGTTGAAACATGATTAACTGAAGTTAAATTGGTTAAAGCAACATTTAAACATTTGCTATTATGTGTGAAAACATTAATAACCTGTCTGAGAAATGTGTATAAAGTGTGCAGTGAGGGGTTTTACAGCCTTAAAACATCTAGAATAATTCGAAAAAATTAAGCGGACTACTTCGCGGATTTTGTCTATTCTGGTTATTGTTTATAATGTAGCTCCCGCAAATAACAAGGGACCTCTGTAAACGAATAATTAGCTAAATATTTAATCAAACTTGAAACTACCAGCCTCATATTAGTTCAGAAGATTTCAACTAACTTACTAGCCATGTAATCAGACAGTTATGAGAATGGAAGTGTGTTGTTAGAGCACAATGCATTCTGGGTGTTTAGGACACAGGAACCTGAATCCTATTGACCTTATTCTCCGCGGACGAGCAATTTGAATCTTTTTGGCACGAGACTTCCGGTCTCATTCACTTTCATTCATTTTTAGACGTTAAAAACTGCTCGTTTCGCGGTTTGATGTTGCAAACTTATATTTCCTTGTTATATTATTCTAGTTGGTCTGTATAGTTATGCAAACATTTGTTTGTAGAGCAAGTAGTTTGACCGTTTTTTGCCGTTTATTATTCCTTGTCATTTCTCCCATAGGCGACTGAAATGGAAGTTCTAAGACAATCGCAAAAACAGGCGCACTTCCGCATTTTAGAATAAGGTCAATATATCTCTATTGCTTTATTGTATCATATATACACTCACCAGCAATAAACTAAGCGTTTAAACCAAAAATAATGAGGAAAAAAGTTAAAATTTTTCTTCCTGACTTAAAGATAAACTCAAGTTTCACTTTAGCGCCGGAGAAATAATATTATGGATTGCTTATTTTCAGCTTCTCAGACACACAAAGTGGCTGCATCCGAAATCGCAGACTTCCATATTATAAAGCACATGAAAAAACAGTACGTAAGCCGAGTAGTAGGGCTGCACAATATATCGTTTCAGCATCGATATCGCAATATGATCAGTCACAATAGTCACATCGCGAGCCAACGCAATGTTGAGTCTGGATTATAATTCACCATTTCGCAAGTGTTTTAAAAGTATTCAGGCCTATAAGAAATTGTGCCGTTCGTAACTTTGACACATTACTAACAATTGAATTGTTTATAAAATGAAGACTACGCAGTATTATTTTACATTTGATTATTCACTACACCTGAATTTAATTCGATTAATCAGAAAACAACCAAACCCTGTTTATTTAATTGGTATATTTTTCTTTATTGAATTTATCTACGCTTGTAAATTGTTTCTTATATATTATGCATATGCACTCCCCTACAAAATCATCCCAATCGATCTAAAATGATCCGCTCTTTCCAAAAAGTTATTCAACTCATCTAGTGATATTGTATTCGTATCGCAACATATGACCGCAGAATAAGAAAATATCGCGATGTAAGATTTTTCCAGTATTGTGCAGTCCTACTTAGTAGCATGTCCGAATTCATAGAATTCGAAAAACAGTATGCGAGAAATACCCGGATGACTTATTACTTCCTGCGAGATTCTGAAGTGCGCATCGAATAGACGCTATATTATTCCATGATGCTTTTCAAGAGAATTTATAAGTGTGAGTGTAGCGACGCAAACTGATGCAGGTCATTTGACCATGACAAATACCACTCATATTTATTATGTTTAGAACGGTTAAAGTCTAGATCATATACCCGGCCGGCCGGAAGTGCGATATGCGCATTAATATAATAATAATAATAAAAATAGTTTTGGGGTAATTTAATAGATAATAAATAATACTCATCACAACTACTTTTTTTATGTTACTGCGATGTGGTTTGGGTTGGGGTAGACGTTATTTAAACACAATGGAGGATATGCCGAAGCATGCTAATAGGACTTTTAATTTGCCAGTAACCTGGGTTAAGCGCTTCCGGAGAATTGAATGCCAATGCAAAATCCGGTGCGTTTAAGGTCTGCTTCAAAATCTGTGATCTCCACTAGCTGAGTGATATCCGATTTAAAGTGGGTCTCAGATTGTACAAGAAGCACTGCATTAAATTACATTTCCTCCGCCATGTGTTTATAATATGAGCATTTGTTTTACCCCAGTATATTCAATGGAGCTTCTGCGTTAGCCTGCCGATTCTGAGGGGCGCATGCGAGTAAATGGCTTTTTGTCTCATTTTACGCTAGAGCAACTAAATAAATGCTAAAATTTATTTAACTAAATGTATTTTAATGACATTACAACATCGATGCTCTATAAGGAACCGTATAAAATGGTAAAAAGTTCACAATAACAGGTCACCGGAAGTGTATCAGCATGGGAACAGCACTAGCTATGGTGTTATAAAGGCATCCACACCTGCTTGTAGGATGTTTTTTACAGGTTTTACTATAAAACAGTACGCTTTTTCTGTGGTGATTTGCACTGATTTACATTTAGCGCTCCTGCACTCGCTATGACGTAGACGTTTCCATTTTTTATTGGCCAATGAGCTTCAGCTGAACTGCATGTCGTAATTCTTGAGATGCCACTCAGCCAATCAGATTCGAGTAATATACTAGCTGATAATTTGAATGAAATTTGTAAACAATACTCTTGATAATTCATACTGTAATAAATAATAATAACTTAAATTATAATAAATACTTGTAATCGTACTGTGGACACTTAGTTTCAGTCTGGAAAACTAAGGAAGCCCTGAATAAGCACGTTAAGATAAGAATCGGTATCGGTCTAAAGGTAGTTAAACAAATGAACTCACCTGTCCAGCGTGGAGGTCGGGTGTCGGACATTCATGACGGAGGTTTGTCCGGTTATTAGTTTAGTGTTTCGATGTCAGTTTGAGATCATGTCAGTAGCTGTATTTGAGCTGTATTTCCCTTTTCCTCTCCTTGAGGTGATATTGTTGTCCTTTCGCCACTTCAGGGGTCAAAGTTCCCTGTTAGACAACAACACGGGGGTCCTTCTCTCCAGCATCGCCCCGATTAAAAACAAAAACAAAGTCTGCGGAATCTCTTCAGCTCACTGTATTTGGTAGTGTCATAACACAGCTAGATTCTCCCACGGGACGCATCAATATCCCACATTTCTGTTTTATCTACGAAGCTTCAAGTTGATGTCCAGATTGGAGATTCCTGAAGACTGAATCATATTCCCGTTCAAAGAAAAAGATCGTACACAATCAGTCTGAAAATCAGCTGAGCAGAATGAGATAACTCGAAGCTTTGTTGTTTGCACTGAGGCTTCTTTCACTACAGTGTATAACAGGGTCGACAGGATTCACAGCCACTTGGTCCTCCTCCTCAGTGTTTTTAGCATTGCTAGTCCGGTCTTTAGAGCTAGAATGCAGTGCAAATTACGTTTATTTAAAACCAAATGCTGGCATGCATGCAAACCACAGTGATATGAGGGAAATAAAGTGCATTCAACTCAACTAATTCACGAGCAGCGAGGTTCACAGTGCTGACAGATTACCGCAGCTGCTTGCACCATAAATGCACTCAATTAAGCACGATCTACATAATGTGCAATGCGCAAACCCATAAAACTCCATGTTTTTTGCTGTTTGATAGCTTCCAGTGTACAAGAGGCCTCAGCGCGCGCATCCCCGCCGTCGCGTACGGACACGCGCCGCACGCGAGAGCGACTCCTGCGGCTACAGCCGGTCACCTTCACGGGCGTTCAGAGAGCCGCGGAAAACGAGCTCCGAGGACGATTTTGGTGCGATAAATCTCAGCTTGCTTTCAATGTTTAGTTATCAAGCGGATTTCAGCGACTTGCTCGCGCTCGTTTGGTCTCCAGTGAGATTCATTTGATCCGCAAACGCTCCGTAATTCCTTAAATCCCGGCCAGACTCGTCTTCTGCGTCCGGCTCCAGCTGTAGGGATGTTTAAGCAGTATATCCTCTCACAGCTTCCCAGAGATGTGCGGTCCGCATGTCTTTAATAGTGGTGTTTTCCCCGTGCTCGAGCGTTCGCCATTCTGGAATAATACCATCATCATCCTTGGGTTTATGTTTGGACACTGGGCAGGCAAACAGACTCGCGCTCGCCCACTAGCGGTGGGATTCTGTGGGATAATGTGAATGAATAAATGAATGGATGAATAAATAAATAAATAAATTGATGAATAAATGAATAAATGAATGAATGAACGAACGAACGAACAAATTAATGAATAAGTAAATAAATTCATAAATAATAAATAAATAAATTAATTAATTAATAATTGAACGAAAATGAATTAATAAATAAATGAATGAATGAATGAACAAATAAACAAAAAATACATAAATTATATATATATATATATATATATATATATATATATATATATATATATATATATATATATATATATATATATATATATATTTATTTATTTATAGAGGCGTGACATAAACAACGTTACAACCACTCATTATGACTAAAACAATTTTATGTATCTTTATCTAGCTTTAATTCATGTAATAGATAGAGAGACAGACGGACAGACAGACAGAGAAAGATAGACAGATACAAATACACATTATGTATGATGCAAATTTGATTAAAAGAAATGACTAAAATATGTATATTAAAATAAATACAATATTAAAATAAATATAATAAATGTAGGCATGCAAAACAGTAGAAACGGACTATTTTTTAAACAACAGACACTCACAGAAATTATTTAGGGTGAGACAAAGATCGCCTAAAAACCCGTAGAAATGTTTTCTCTTCTATTTATTGATTACAGAAAAAAATGTCATTCCCTGACCGGGAATCGAACCCGGGCCGCGGCGGTGAGAGCGCCGAATCCTAACCACTAGACCACCAGGGAGAGGTGCCATAATGGCTCTCTGAACATTAGATATGCCCCCCAAAGCATCCATTTCTGCTGTCGTACCACGTTACTTTCGACACGTTTCGATATATAGAGCCGTGACATAAACGACGTTACATTATAACCAAAACATTTAGCAAAAACCCCTTTCAATTTTATGTATCTTTATCTTGCTTTAATTAATTCATGTAATAGATAGATAGATAGATAGATAGATAGATAGATAGATAGATAGATAGATAGATAGATAGATAGATAGATAGATAGATAGATAGATAGATAGATAGATAGATACACATTTACATTAGATATGATACAAATTCGATTAAAGGAACGACTAACAATAGCCACTTAGCCTAAGTGACTTAGGGACATTATTATTACTTAGGGTGAGATAAAGTTTGCCTACGAACCCGTGGTATTTTTTCTCTTTAAACCAATTGATTACAGAAAAACTCTCATTCCCTGACCGGGAATCGAACCCGGGCCGCGGCGGTGAGAGCGCCGAATCCTAACCACTAGACCACCAGGGAGAGGTGCGACTCAGACCGTCCAAACTCGACATACACGCCAAAACAGCACTCTCTGCTAGCATATGTTTCAATATATAGAGGTGTGACATAAACGGCCTAATTAAAAACAAAACATTTAACATGAACCCTTGTCGATTTTATTTCCTTTTCTATATCATGTTATCATAGCTTTAATTCATGCAAACCCACATTTTTGCATTTATTTATTTTTTGTTCTTGTTATTTTAAATTTTCTTCTGTATGTTATCCTCCCTGTTGTACAAGTTTGACAATAAAAAAAAACAAACAAAAAAAAAACATTTGAAGGATAAAAAAAGAAACACTTTTGCATATTGTAATTACTCAAGAATATTCTGGAAAGATTTGCAATTGTTTATTAACACAAAATGAAGCATAGGATAGGCATTTGTTTATTTGATGTGCTGTTTCAGTCTGATAATGAGAAGTTGAACTGTAAAGGACAACATATTTTTAATTTACGTCATTAGGAAAATACCATATACACAAGAAAAAGCAGGCTCTATGTAAGTTTATGCATTATATTTACATGTAAATCTTTCAGAACGATCACAAAAATAAAAAAGAACTAAAAACCTGCTCTGAAAACATTTAAATTCATGTAAATGTCTATTTTTATTTATTTATTTTGTCAGAAAACTATTTGAATATGTAATATCTCTTGTTCTTGAAGAATTGAATTAATAAAGTGAGGGAAAGAAATCTAAACATTTTGGGAAAATACCTTAGGTTTTATTAGAAGCAGAATTTATTATGAATGTGCTTTGCATATAGTTTTGGGCTTTGTTGAGATATGAACAGCGTAAACTGTTTCATGTGGTGAATTTGGTTTGGCTTTGTGCTAAATGTTACATTTATATTCAAACTCTAGACCTATGTTTGCTGTTTTTAATGAAATAATTTACGTTATCTAGTTGCAGTTCATTTACTAGACACTTAAAACATACATTTTTTGCTGCTTGTTCAAAATAGTTATTTTTAAAAAGATGAAACAAGTCAATTCTGGAGAATAATAGAGGGAAAATTCATTGTTTTATGGTCAATCCACTTAAATTTGTTACATTATTAAATCCATTTCATGTTAGCACAACATGAATGAATTGTGTGGAAGCATAGACTTTTGACTTTGCTTTTTCAATATATCTCTCAAGCTCTATCAGGTCACACAGGAAGTGATTGTGTATAGACATTTTCAGATCTCTCCAGAGATGTTCAATAGGATTTAGGTCTGGGCTCTGGCGGGGCCACTCGAGGACATTCACAGAGTTGTTATTTTATGTTCCCTCCATTTAAATTTGTTATGTTTACTTTTACTTTTTTAATTATGAATTTTATGGCACATTAAAGACAAAACAAGTCTATTTATTAATGGGGTCAACTTGAGCACACACAATAAATAAATACCACCAAAATGAAAAGGTTTTGTTTCGTCAAGTTAAATGATTTCTATTGGCACATCATGAATGAATTGGGCAGATTTCTTTTTACAGTGGATTTAAGTTTGCATTTTTAATATTTTGAGTGCCTGCAGTGTTTGGTTGTTTCTCTTTTTTCTTTCCTTTTATTTGTGTGTATTTACATCGTTAAGGATAATTATGCATATTTTATTTTGTATACTTAAGTATGCACTGTTTCTGAGCATTATAATAAATGAAAATAAGCAGAATACATCCTGTTTCTCTGATTCCAATGATCTAACATTTTCTTATTTCCCCAATTATACTACAATGCACCACAGTTTACGGCAGTAAAAACTAAAGTATACACTATTTATTATTAGTGTACTACTGAAAAACAATATTCAAAGAAGATTCATTGGATTTTTTTATTCATTTTTTTAAAGTTAAGTGTTTGCAAAGAATTTATTTAGGCTGAATTTAAACAAACTAATTAAGTTGAACATGACTACATTTAATGTGTTTGCAACAGTTTGAATGGATGGATGGATGGACAGAGAGACAGATAGATAGACACACATTTATTATTTCGATTAAGGAATGACTAAAATATGTAAATAAATAAAAATACAGTATTAAATTGAGTATACTGACACAGTAAGAACAAAATAATTGTTTAACTATAAACACTATAGATTAGTCTGTTTCCTTATAGATACTAGGACAAATGACATTTGCACAAGTATATTGTTATTCAGGGTGAGATAAAGCTAGGCGATTCTTAAACTGTGTTCTTGATAATCAATCAAGTACAGAAAAGTTTTCATTCCCTGACCGGGAATCGAACCCGGGCCGCGGCGGTGAGAGCGCCGAATCCTAACCACTAGACCACCAGGGAGAGGTGCTGTTAAGGCTCTCTGAACATCACATACACCTCCTAAAATATCAATCTCTACTGACGTACCACATGTTACTTTTTGAAAAAAATAAACAAATAAATAATTCATTAAAATACTAGGCAAATACAGGGCATTACTTTCATTTGTTTTCGTAAACAGTAACTATGAAACACATTTAGTTACTATTTAAAAAAGTAACTAAAGATTAAAATACTCAGTTGAAATAGTTGAGTTAAAAATACTCCAGCATATAACCCAACTATAGATTATTAAAGCACCTTCCCAATTATGGGTTATTTTAACCCAGTGCATTGGGTTATTTTGATTATTATTATTTTTCATACTGGTATCACTATTGCCATTACTAATAATACTATTAATGTTATAATTATGGCTGTGTAAATAAATCACATACAGTTTTAAAAAATACTTAAAATGCTTTATTTCCATTATATTTTAAATTCCAGGCACAGCGATTTTATCTAATTCATATCGGCTTCAAAGCACATTTGTATCATCAATAATTGAGAGTGAAACAGACACAAAAAACAAGACACGGAAAGGTCATTTGTTATTAAATAAATAACTTGGGCTAACAAAACAACCTAACAAAGGACCAAATATTGTACCCAACTGGTTGTGTTATTAATAAATAACCAATCAAAGGTTAAAAATAACCCAACCAAGCATCAAATATTTTAACTCAACCATTGGGTTGAATAAATAAAGTGTATATTCATTAATTTTTTTTTCAGCTTAGTTTCTTTATTAATCTGGGATCGCCACAGCGGAATGAACCACCAACTTATCCAGCATATATTTTACATAGCGGATACCCTTCCAGCTGCAACCTATCTCTGGGAAACATCCATACACTCATTCCCACACACTACCACCTATTTAGCCTACCCAATTCACCTGTACCACATGTGTTTGTGTGGGGGAAATCGGAGCACCCAGAGTGGGGATGTCCAAACTCGGTCCTGGCTGGCAGGTGTCCTAGAGAGTTTAGCTCCATCCCTAATCCAACACACCTGAACCAGCTAATCAAGCTTACTGGACATAGTTGAGACTTCCTTGCAGGTGTGTTGAAGCAAGTTGGAGCTAAACTCAGCAGGATACCGGCCCTCCAGGACCGAGTTTGGACATCCTGACCAGTGTTTTAGTCCTTGCTATACGCACATATACTCAGTATGCTTTTTCCACGATCTGTTTGGGTATTACGACTTCCGAGGATCAATAATTGCGTATACTATATATGCGCAATAATATATGCATATCAGTCAAACACATGTTTTTTTTTCTAGCACAGTTTATAACGGTCTGCACTTTGTTTTGTTTGTTTAATGTTTGTGATTCTTGATTTATTTTAACAAAAGTGTCTGGAACTAAAATGTAATTGAAATAAAGCGTTTTCAATATTTTTGAAAACTGCAGTTTATTTATTCACACAGCCATAATTATAAAAATTAATAGTAGTGCTAATATACGCTGACAAAAGTATTCAAAGATGATTCCTTGAATTAACTTTTTTTTTAAGTTAAGTGGTTGCAAACAATTTGTTTATGCTGAATTTAAACAAATAAATTATGTTGAACAATAGTAAATTTAATTTGTTCGTTTAAATTCAACACAAATACATTTTTTGCAACAATTTTTTTTTTCATTATACCAGAATGGGAAAAAATAACATTTAATCAAAATAACCCCAATGCATTGGGTTAAATATATAACCCATAGTTGGGAAGGTGCTATAATAACCTATAGTTAGGTTATATGTTGTGGTATTTTTAACCCAACTATTTGAGTAACGTGTATTTTACTTTATATATATTGAAGTATCTACAACTCTTTGTTGAATGCTGCAGTGTTAACTAGTGAATTAATAAATTGTAATAAATACTGTAGTATTGATTTTAACTAAAGTGGTGTATAGCATTCATTAACAAAGTATTGTAAATATTATAATACACTTAAGGTTCAAAAGCAGCTAAAGAAATTACTGTATATTTAATGAGTTTTAAACTTTAAAAAGCTACAGCTCACTTAAAAAAATATTATGAAAAAGTAGTGTCAACAATTAAATTCTTCCTTCTACATTTTCTTTTTATCATGAAACAACTCACTTGAATAAAATACTTTAGTAATTCATGGTGAAAACCTGATTTTGAACCGTACTACAGTAAGTGTAGTATCTACAACACTTTTCCATCTTATTTTCACTTATCTCTATATATGCAAGCATCTACAACACTTACAAAGCTGCAGTATCAACAATAGTGAACCAAAACTGTAATAAATACTGTAGTATACCTTAGTATTTACTACAGCGCGTGTTGTAGTATAATCTACCCTGTAGTAGTAGAAAAGTGTTGCGTTACTATAGATACTCTAAAACCACAACAACAGATTAATTTACGGTTCAACAACACTGCAGCGTTTTCTATGCATTACTCTGGTATTTATGTAGGAAACTGGAATGTAAAACCCCCAATTTTAGCACACAACTCCCTACTCCAGACTGCACGGTGAGGTCAATCGGTTAACAGAGAGAAACAGTTCCTAATTTGGAAGGAAATGGGCGTGGAGGCTGAGCTAAAGTGCTCCGTTAAAGGAAGAGCACATCTGGGCAGCGTCACCGGACAGGACAGGACAGGGGCTCGGTTCTGCTTTGTGATACAAACTGAAAATAAAAAGAGGACAGTCTGTATAAAGTAAGTAATGCTTCTTTATTGTTGTGCTGGACTTGTTGGCTTCTGCGTCGAGAGATTACGGAAAAAATTGGTTTCCTTTTGTTTGTACGCATCTAACGTGAGTCTACGCTTGATCATGAGGAGGAATGCGCTTTGTTTAGGCGAACGGTACATAAATACGGTTGTCTAAAACATCGTGAAGTATTTTAATACGCTTTATGTATATACTGACTGATAACTTTTAAATACTTTGTACTATTTAAGCGTGTATTGTTCTGTTCTGTGAGAAATGTGTTTAAATGTGCGACTAATTTAAATATCACATCGTGAAATAATCGTTTAAATCGATCTAAACCTCGTGTTTCGCTTGTCGCGAATTTTTCTAAACCTCACCGAAACCATAAAACCCCCGCCACACCCTCACCGCATCCGTTAGCTGATAGAGATGGTGAAATAAGTTATGATGATGAAGTAAAATATAGCACTGTAGCCCAATGCGTGCTGCGTGATTTAGTAAACTAGCTTAGAAATGTGGTGTGTTCAACTCAAAATCTCCAGCTGAAATGTGCTTGATGTTTGTTTGGTCTGCCTAAAATAATACACTAATTCTGTGCTCCTCACAATCATTTTGTGTTGGGCAGTGGTGTAAAGTAACTAATAGGGTTGTAACGGTATGAATTTTTCACGGTATGATAATCGTCTAAAACAATACCACGGTTTGACGGTTTCGCGGTATACGGTATGTTACAAATGTTACAAAATAATAGAACAGTGAAGCAAATTTGACTTTTTCCAAATAATATATTTTTAGTTACTATAAACAACACCACTTACAATGAACAAATAAAAATAAGAAAATAATAAATAATGTGTCAAAGTCCAAATAAAGTCCAAATAAACATGGTGCAAATCCTCAGTAAAAAACAGATATAAATATTTACTATACTATAAATAGTTACATAACGAAACTAGATTCAATATGGAACATCCTTAGGTTTTATGTGCCAGCATGGATATGGTTGTCTGTGGATATGGATTTGGATATGGTTGTCTGCAATGCAGACAAACAGCTGCACCTTCATTTGCGTCTTTTGAAAACAGCAAGAGCAGCAGTTCGTCTTTGCTGTGACACGGTTTTGTCATGTTTCTGTGCTGCTGTGCATGCAAAAGTACTTAGTATGAGAATTATTTCATGCAAAACTTTTTTTTTTTTTGCGTTTTATTTAGCCGCGCATAAATGTATGCCTTTCTCTCATTCTGTGTTGTTCAAAAAGCTTGGTCCACAAACCAAAGCGAAACCTATGCTTATTGGTTGTGATATAGCGAGTTTGAACCAATCTGGGCATGGAGGAGGGACAATGCATCAATGTATCATGTCTGATTTGTCTGGAGACACAGTGACGAGCGTTTCTTTGTCAAATCAGCGTTGTCAAATTTTGATGACGTAACCGCACTGATTCTGGAGCCTCTAAAAGTCCGCAAATGTTATGTGATACATCACTGGAAAGCTGATATTCTCTTCTTTATGCCAATCTTTGAATTGTATGAATCGGATCAGCGGATCAAAAGTTATTAAACATTTAAGAGCAATACTTATTTTTAGCCGCGGGCGGCTGTCTCGGTCTTTAAGGGTTAAAACCGTTGATATGCAATTGTTCATGGTATAATAATCGTGCACGATCAAATCGTGGTAAACCGTCATACCGGTATATTGTTACAACCCTAGTAACTAACTACAAATACTCAAGTAACTGTAATTGAGTAATTTTTCTCAGGAATTGTAAACTACTAAGTAGTTTTTTAAATGTGCATTTTTACTTTTCAGTGTGTACATTTTTTTGTGCGGTATTTGGTACTTTTACTCCACTACTTTCCTTAAACCTGCAGTCAGGGCCGGAGTGGGACTCCTTTTCAGCCCTTGAGTTTCAAGCCAGACCGGCCCACCTCAGTTCACGACGTACTATATTAAAATAAGGTCATTTCCAATTCAGTTTCTTATGACACTACCACGTCTTTTTCAAGAAAACAGCTGCTTTAGAACTTTAAATGTTCAACAGCCCTCACAGTATTATATGTCTTAACAATAAAAATGAAAAAAATTAAATAATGATAATTTAGATGAGATTCGAACACGGGTTGGCGGCGCTTTATAGAAACGTGCTGACCACTTGACCACAGTGGCGCTGTTCTGGTGGGAGAAAAAATGTCAGATTTCTCATCAAGTTACATCAGCTGTATGAATGTAGTGAATCATCTGATTTTCATTGAGCAGGTGTATTATTCATTAATATTAATTATTCGAATTCTTATATTCACTAAGGTGCCGCTGTTTGGGGTCGAATGATGATATTTACATCATTACCCTGTAGGCTGCATTTTGCTCACGGGGCTGCGAGAAAATAAATAAAAAGAGCGGAGCTGCGGCAAAATAATGAATAAAAAGAGTGAGGCTATGGTCAAATACATAAATAAATGAAAAAAGTGCGACTGCTGAGAGTGCAAGCAGCTAGGGACACCAGCCCTCATGGCCAAAAAATGGACTGGCCCACAGGGAATTCTCCCGGTACTCCCGATTAGCCAATCCGGGCCTGCCTGCGGTCCCTACTTAATTTAATCTTGTCTATGGGGATTAGAGAAATCAGTCCTGTTATTCCTGCTTAATCAAATCGCACATAATGAACTACCTCAAGACATGGGTGCTTTATAATTGCAGCAAACTCTCTGGAAGCATTAAAGTTGTCCAAGAAGATGTCCAAAAGCTTTGCACGCATTTACCCAGAGACTGTTTAGATGCAGGTCACTGATGAAAAAAGGACAAATGTTTACTGTATGAAGACCGAAATGGCCTTAAACACCCAGCTGGCACAAGATGTCAACATGACGTCAGATTAAAGTTGTATGGGGACGTTGCATTTTGTTTTGGAAATGAAAATCACATTGACGTCAGCATCAGTGTCCAACCTAAAGTCAAGCAAATATCAACATCTAATGATGTTACAGCTTGACGTTGTGTGGATGTTAACACTATGACGTCTATCAGACGTTGGATTTTGGTTGTCACACCTGACAAATAAATGTCAATGTTTAACATCAGTATAATGCTGGTTTAAGATGTTGACTCGATGTTGGATGTTGGTCACGTTCTAACAACCTAAAATCAACCAAATATCGACGTCATTATTGAACATCAAAAATAACGTTGTCCTTAGATGCTGGCTAGCCATTGAATTTTGGTCACCTGACATCGAACTAAATCGAACCTAATATTAATGTCTTATGACGTTGTGTGTCTGCTGGGCAATATTTAATGCACTACAGAATGTTACGTTTACACACATCCACAAGTTACATGTAAACACATCAGCTTTATACAACGTAATACTCACTACTCTTGAGTACTTTTGAAAGGTCTCCTTTTTACTCAGACTTTGAGTAACATTTACAACAGATACTTTCACTCTACTCACGCTACATTTTTAGTCAAGTAATAGTACTTTAACTTAAGTATGATTTTTCAGTACTCTTTCCACCACTTGTGTTGGGACAACATGAAGGAATTAAGTTAAGTTTTCATGGTGAATACATTTGAGCAATTCCATGCAAATGTCAACCTTGCCATGAAAAATATTGAAGTTTTCACCAAAATAGAGTAACCATTTCTAAAAAATTTTTTTTGTGTTAGCAAGTATCTTACAGTACTTCAAAAATACTCATAATTGTATCTGTCAGTGTTTCAAACTATTATATTTATTTGCCCAAATCACACAAGTGGCAATTTCACAGCTGTCACATCCATAACGGAAAAGTGTCACATCCATAACAAAACTTTTTCCACGTAACTGCAAAAATGTCAAATAAAATAAAATCAATCATTTTAATTAGAGCTTTGAACCGACACTAGTCTCACGGTTCGGTTCGGTTACGATTATCATGCCATCGATTCGGTTCAATTCGATATCTCTGTGCATCACGGTGCATTGACGGTGCTTTCCATACACAGTTTTAAATTTTCTTCACAGCAGCAGTTCTTGTATTAAAATGTATGAATATATTTATATTTATATACTAATTGTAATACAATTTTGTCGTTTAATACAAACAGTCAGATTTATAAACTGTAACTTTAAACAAAACGAGCATTTAGCAAATAATATAAACAAATATAAATATGCAGCTCAATTTCTGATCCTTGTCTAGTTCTCTTACACCTCTTTGATTGGTCACACCCTCAAAAAAAAAAACGGTTGCGATTGGCTCTTGCGCGCTGCGTTCTTCACAGATGAGTGATGCTGATAAGCGGCAGGCGGCAGCGGCGATCTCACAGCTGATGTATGATAGACACGGTGGAGAAAACTCTGCAAGTAACGCTGTAAAACAGCCGAGAAGAGAAGAAAAGCCACCCCATCAGGTCAAATGGGCCACTGTGTGTGTGTGTGTGAGAAAGAGAGAGAGACAGAGCACGAGAGAGAAATGGAGTAGGCTACTTTCATTCTCTCGATCTCAGTGAAATAGGGGCTATTGTTGTATATGTCAGTGATAGACTGATCCAGAACACACACACAGTGAAATTGTGCACAGTTTATGAGTTTTAAGTAGTTAAAGCGCTGTAAATACTCGCGATCGCCTCCCTCGCGACAGAGCACATATGAGGTAAATGACGTCAGTAATAACCGGTTATGATTATTACTGAACCGATACCGAATTGTCCGCGTCTGCATCGCGATGCACCGAAAAAACGATTAATTTTGACACCCCTAATTTTAATTCTATAGTGAGGCGACTCATATCTGTTTGATTAGCATTGTTTTTTTGTGGGGATCTGCAGTTTAACTGAAAGAAGTTCTACGAAGTCTGTTGTAGACTGTAAACGCGCAAGCTTTTTTGTCACATCCATAACGCATGTATATTTTTCTGATTTGAAATATATAAAGTGTTTACATATTGATATTTTTCTGATCCCATAACTTTGTGGTTAGTTTTGGAAAATATAAACAGATGTTTCGATATAATGTTAATGTATA